ACACACACACACACACACACACACACACACACACACAATATATATATATTATAGAGATTATCGGTACTTTTTCGTTTATAATAAATATTCTCTGGATATTCTATAAAGATATTTTGGATTTTATTGAATATTGTTATTTTTATCAAGATTAAATTTCGACTTAGTTAAAATATCGAGATTTATGTGTATCAATTTGAAACTTATTAAAAATAAAAACTTTTTGCAAGTTAAGCGTAAAAAAATTAATAGATCATATAATGGTAATCATTACTAAATTTGGAGTTATTTTTGCGAATTTTTACTAGCTTCAAACTAAACATTATCCATAAAATTGCAATACAAATTAAACAATAACAAGAAAAAATAACCAAATATTTATATGTTTCCGGGAAAATAACGTAGTATTTTTCGTTTAGTATTAACTTTTTTTTATATTTTTCATGTTGTTAGTATACATTAGATATTATTTATATTATTTATATATTTCCATAAGTTCTCATCAGTTTCTCTTGTATTTATATATTTTTTACAACCCGCACAATTTACACTTTATCCAATCATTTTTTTTTCCTTTTATGTAAGTGACTTATGCACGTAAATCTTCAAAATTTAAAAATGTTATAGATAACTATTTTCTTCACCAAGTAAGATTAAAAATCTTATATCAAAATTTTCCTTACTTCTCTCATTTTTATTTTCACTTAATATATTTTTTAAAGAAAAATTTACTTCAAATTTGACGAAGATATTTTCTTCATAATTTTATTCCTTATTGCCATATAATATATGTTATTTCTTATATACCAAATAATATATTCACATAAATGAAACAAACAAACTCATAGTCTAGTATTGGGGCAACTAACTGGCATAGCAGTCCTAAAGATGACATATCTTTTACTATTTTTAACTGTCAGATCTAATATGTTGAAATCCAATCCGCATGCATCCCTTGCGCAAAACCATCGCTTCCTCGCAGTTCTTCGCAGCAAGTTCGAACACACAGACAATCGATTGCTCTATGAATCACATGGTCAGAGAAAACACGAGTTACGAGTAATGCGAAAATTTCGTCGAAAGGGAGTGTTACGAAATACTATACAATCGTCCGAAATTTAACCGGATTTAATTTCAAATTGAGATCTCTTGAGCCATTCGATGTGTGTGAAAGTGATATATCATACACATGGTAATGCCAATGCATGTGAGTGACATTTACGATTAGCTGCAATATCGAATTACGTGGTGTCTTCGCGACAAATAAACCTTATCGAACGAGTTATCAGAAATCCTGCGCTTTTTATAACTCACTTTGCCTCTCTCGTGCATTACACACTTCGGAAACAACAAATATTTAAAATTCGCAATGATCACGTTCTTTAGACAAAAATTTCCCGTTGTCAAAGAGTTCGCCAATCCTGCACCGTTTTGATCTTTGGCTGAACAAGATCGTTATTTGGACACACACTTAAGCGATGGTAAAAATTTCGCCAGTTAGCACGAGAGGATGAAGCGAAAATTCGGGCACGAAGTTAGTTACGAGATATACATAAAATATTTTCGATTTGTAGCGTCGATTGTCGCGTTTATTACGATGCCCTACGAAATACCTCGCGATTTGCAGATGCCTTATTTACAGGCGATTCAAAAAATACCGGACGATACAGCTGGTAAGAAGTGAAGCTGGCTAGGAAGATTGGCATTGAAACAAACTAGAAAGGATCTCGAGTTATTTCCATCAGAATTGCTGCCTATACTGCGCGTGGAAATCGCCGTCAAGAAAAAGAAAGAATCACGAGGATACAGTGTTGGCGGTAAAATGCGAGAACTCAACAATAATAAACCGAGCTTAGACACTTAAGGTCCTCCTGGTGCTTCGATGGTAGCCACAAAAAATCCTCGACGTTACGTACTTCTGCGAACATCTCTTCCCGAATGTTTTCTTAAACACAAGGACACGTATTATAGTATTGAACTCTCGATTGTCCAGCATCCGATTTTCGCGCATGAC